ACTGAAGCATTTGAGTACAGGTGTGTCACGACGAGTTGCGTCTATATGGCAAACTGCTGGCACTATTTTTATCAAAATTTGCATATAACGTTTATGCGAGGTGCTCGTTTTAGCAAAAACATTTTCAGTTTTCTCCAACATCCGATTATACCGGAAATGGACTCCAACTTCGTTTTTTTAAATGGAATACATATACCACTTTTTATTGAATTTTCGAGATCTCCGCTAAATTTAGATATGTTTTTTCAATATTTTTGGCAGATTTTTGGCAACCATTCACAATAAAAATAATTTTTCGAAATTACACTCGAGTCCGGCTAAATATTCTCAGGGTTTGCACAGAGAGGACCCATAGCTTACATAACCCTTGAAATGTTTTCTAAAAAATTATACAGGTGGTCAGAAATTTGCACTGAATTTCCCTATCTCGAAATATCGAAAATTTAATTTTTTTAAATGACAGTCCCAATTTATTCAATTTAGTTTGTCATATACATATAGACTCTAAAAACAGATTATAACAAAATGTTTCTTTTCTAGTACATACAGGGTGTCTCAACGAGACCGGTTATTAGACGTTTCTGGGGTTCTGGCCAAACAAAAAATTTGAGAATTCAGACTTAAGTATTATCAATTACGTTCTCTTCATCTAAAATATTTTCATTTTACTTAAGTCTGAATTCTCAAATTTTTATTTTCGCCAGAACCCCAGAAACGTCTAATGACCGGTCTCGCTGAGACAGCCTGTATATACTTTATTCTATACAATAATAACGCCTATAGAAAGGAATACAATCTTGGATTAAAAAAGATACTTCTTAAGTGGTCATTGATATATCAAGCATAAGTAAAGAAACAAAAAACTTAGTTCCATAAATAAATTAGTTCCAGAACAATACCGTGTAAATGTCTTGTCTCGACTTGTCGAAAAACGTGTGAAACGAGAAAATCCGACGATTAATCACGATGCACGATGCCAACGATGCTACAATACAGTTCTGATGAATATTACTCGTAATCAAACACTAAATGTAATCGGCGATGCATTGCCGAACGATGCCGAGTATGTACTCGCATCGTTCAGTTGTATACTCGGCGATTATTTCTCCGATTACTTTTTACGTACTCGTGCAGTGCTCTAGTAGATGAATTTACAATGAAATATACGTATAGTTCGTATTTTTCTATAATACTTGTAAAGGTATTTTTTTTTAGGGTTTCTATTGATATTACCTAGGACCCTTATAAAATTTGTGTTGTTTTCCATATTTTTACTAATCAATTTTCAGATAAATACGATTTTAACGAAGTACATATTTATTGTAAAAACGTGCTACAAACTATGCATCGTCTTCATCACTGAATTCATGCTTATTACTTTCCAAATCAGAATCTTCGAGGTTTATGATGAATGGAGGAATATTTTTAAAAAAAGTATTACCCCTATGAATATGCCAGTCTTTTTAAATTAATATTTTTAGGTGATTTTCTTTCCATATTATGTGTATAAATTAAAACTTCGTTTTTTGCACTTTAATGGATTTTATTTATTGTTTTTTCTCAACCGGTTTCGCTATATTTACGTAGCATCTTCAGGAGAGTTACGTCAATTTGTTACAAAAATATACTTTAGCTTGATTCATTTGGTAATTCCTTGTTTATTTCTATTGTTAAACTATATAGATGATATTTATTAAGTATGATTTAAGAGGATTAAAATTGTTTAGAAACGTGATGTGTCATGGAGTTCGTCGTCAAAGTTACTTTTTTAAATTAAGTTTTCAACGTGATTTACACAATTCTTCCATACGTCTGCTGTACAATTTAACAAAGCAGTATGCCACACGTTACTCACACGATTTTTCGCTTTGAAGGACATAGTTGAATTGTTGATATGTTTATTATAATAGATCTTGTACTAGTGCCCAAACTAGTTCAATTGCATTATGATGACAATGATAAGGACCATGCAACTTCAATATTATTCTGCAGAAGAAGATCATCGACGACATATCTTTTTGTATTTTGCTGCAAAAATGGCACGATCTTTCCCAAAGATGAGCTTTTGTTACGTGTTTATTATGTTTACATTATGTTCGATTAAAAATTGCATTAAAACACTTTTCTTTGATAATCGCTTGGGTGTTTCTTCTTTGAGGACTAGCTGATAGGAGGCATTATCTATTATCACTACATTTTTGCCAGCTAAATTTTGCATTGCTGGAATGAGACTTTTGTTGTCCCAGTTGTAAAAGATTTCTTGTGGTAATCTTTGTCAGTACTTTTGCTATTAAAAAGTAACAAGCAATTTTCTAAAAAGCCACCTCTGGAACCTACATGTAGTACAGTAAACCTGTCTCCTTCACTTTTTATCTTAATGTTCACATCTACGTAATTCAGAACCATTCTTATATATCCAAGTTTCGTCTAAAAATATAAAATTGATGTCTTCCCTCGAATATTTTAACTGTAGATAACGCATCAAAAAGTATATTTTAGCTATAATCACATGATTTCTTTCCATTAAAATNTCCTGGTTAGGCCATCTTCAAGAAACTTTCAAATTACGTCAGGATGTTTTTACTTTTAGGAACGTACACTATTATTCATATGAAATTTCTATTCTTTTTACTTTCTAGTTGTTTATTTTATTGTAAACTATGAAATATTTCTTAAATAGTTAAGAGCTCGTTCTATTATGTTATTTGGCTAGCTTACATTTCTAATATATCCATCTAATAAAGAAGTACCAAATTTCAAAGCGGTTTATTTTTGATACAGATGGAAAAAGGCACCCTCAAAAATATAAAATTAAAAAATGTTAACCTATTTTTTAAGTAATTCTGTTTTTGTATACCAACACTGAAGCATTTGAGTAGATGAATTTACAATGATATATGTATACGTATAGTTCGTTTTTTTTTTCTATAATACTTGTAAAGGTAAATGTTTTAGGTTTTCTGTTGGTATTACCTAGGACCGTTATAAAATTTGTTGTTTTTCTGATTTTTAGTAACATTTCCAGTAACTAAACAGTTGAGGTTAAAATACTAATAAATTTTTAGATAAATACGATTTTAACGAAGTACATATTTATTGTAAAAACGTGCTACAAACTAATGAAATAGAACAAAACACCTTTTCTAGGTAAACATTTTTTATGCATCGTCTTCATCACTGAATTCATGTTTATTACCTTCCAAATCAGAGTCTTCGAGGTTTATGATGAATAGAGGAATATTTTTAAAGAAAGTATTACCCCTATGAATATGCCAGTCTTTCTAAATTAAGTTTTCAACGTGATTTATACAATTGTTCCATACGTCTGCTGTACAATTTAACAAAGCAGTATGCCACACGTTACTCACACGATTTTTCTCTTTGAAGGACATAGTATAGAATTATAATAGGTCATATTATAATTGATATGTTTATTATAATAGGTCTTCTACTAGTGCCCAAACCAGTCAATTGCATTATGATGACAATAAGGAGCAAGTCGCAAGACTTCAATATTATTCTGCAGAAGAAGATCATCGACGACATATCTTTTTGTATTTTGCTGCAAAAACGGTACGATCTTTTTCCAAAGATGAGCTTTTGTTACGTGTTTATTAACATTTACATTATGTTCGATTAAAAATTGCATTAAAACACTTTTCTTTGATAATCGCTTGGGTGTTTTTTCTTTGAGGACTGAATGATAGGGCACATTATCCATTATCACTACATTTTTACCAGATAAACTTTGCATTGCTGGAATTAGACTTTTGTTGTCCCAGTTGTAAAAGATTTCTTGTGGTAATCTTTGTCAGTACTTTTGCTATTAAAAAGTAACAAGCAATTTTCTAAAAACATGTAGTACAGTAAACCTGTCTCCTTCACTTTTTATTTTAATGTTCACATCTACGTAATTCAGAACCATTCTTATATATCCAAGTTTCGTCTAAAAATATAAAATTGATATCTTCCCTCGAATATTTTAACTGTAGATAACGCATCAAAAAGTTTATTTTAGCTATAATCACATGATTTCTTTCCATTAAAATTTTTCGACTATTAATTCGAAAATAATAAATTTCATGAACCAGTGAACTCGAATTATTTCTTTACAAAATATAATAATAGTTCATTTAAATTAAAATGATTCCTCTAATTAAATTTTGAAAAATTTTAACTGCACGCTGTTCTCTTAAATAATAATTGTTGAACCATATCCTTTTCTTGTTTCTTCCGGTTTGTGCATTTTGCAAATTTTCTTTATTATGGTGTATGTTGTAAATAACAGTTTTAGTAACTTGATAAATAATTTTGAATTAAAGAAAACGAATTTGTTAAAATACTATTATACATTAAATATTTTACAAAGACGAATGATTAGTTCTTGTTCTGAGATATCAAGCTTCAAATCTGTAAGTTCCAATTTGTACCTTAGTAACGTTCGTTTTAGTTCGACCTAAATAAGTTGCGTTTTGCCAACTTTACAACAATTTAACAGGTATTATAGAAAAAAAAACGAACTGTAGACGTTATTTATAAAATATAATAATAATGAATTTGATCCACAATCAATTTACTTCTGGCATAATAATCTATTTCATTCACAAATATTACCTTTGCTCATAGATATTGTATAAAATTTAACATGAACCTCAATGAGGTTTTATAATAAATTGGATTTTTATTGGAAGTAAATTTTTATTAAAGTCATAATTTATTAAATTTAAACTTCATTAAATTTAATTTGATATTATATTCGAATAAATTAGATTTTAACATGAAAATGTAATTATGTGCTTTTTTAATCATTAAAAACAAATTTTAAGTTGATAGATCATGGATTATAAACGTACTCTGGTCATTATTTAACATTTATTAACTGCTTCAAAAATTATGCGATACTTAAGTTATTATTAAATAAACTTGAAAAATTTTTATCCTCAAACAAAAATTAAATGATTCATGATAAGGCAAAAACTAACAAAAAGCATTCAACTCACGTATTTAGTTAACTTTTCTTTATGTTCCTGTTCGATGTGTTCCCTTCTGTTTTGGGCCTGCTCGAGTTTTTCTTGAATAGCCGTATCCAATTGATGGAATTTTTCCGTATTACTCGTTCGTACCCTATTCACTTGTTCTTCCTGTTTTAAGAGGCGAACATGCGACAACAAGCACAGAAATACAGCGGTGATAATTTAAAATTAACGAAATAAAACACAACTAATAGTGCTTAATAACACCGAAGATGAGAATTATATAAAGAAAATTATTTATAAAACTTACGTGTTCCCTGAGACGTTCAATCATTTTCTTAATGTTCTCATCACGTTGAGCAGATGCCGATTTTAATTTTTCTTCAATAGCCGTCTTTACCTCTTCAGTTTGTTGTTCAAGAGTCAATCGAGTTTTTTCTACATTCTCTATATGATCCTAAATTAAAATATTATTAGTAGAGTTATATTATTAGTAATAATTTATCACCTTAAGTTTTGTCTTAAGATCAGTGATATAAGCTTCTCGTTTTCCTAGATGAGTTTCCATCTTTTGTTCGAGAGCTTCTCGAGTTGCAGAAATAAATTGGTTGGTTTGTTCATCTTTTTTCCTCGAAGCCTCCTCAATTTTCAACATTTTTGCTGTTAAAGAAGCAATTTTATTCGCTTCCAATTGTTGTCTACGTTCTTCGGCCGCTCTCAGTTTATCCTGGATATCTTGAACCGACATGTTCTTGTTTTGGGGCGATGTTGCCTTCTTCGGTGGAATTGCTTTTACATCCGGTTCTCCTATAATTACCTCGTAACAAAGACCTCCTCTTGTTTTTTCTTGGCATCTCACTTCAGTGGCTAATTAAAAAGAATTTAAAGGATTAAACCAAATCAAAAGGAAAATTAAGTGTGTTAATGAATGTGTGAAAACACGCAATTGCTATTTTGGTATCATGGTTAAAGCACGCAATCTTAAACGGTGAACGTTTTAACAATTAAAATATAATTTTTCAAACCCGTCAACGTAATATCCAAGAAGATATTTATCTGCACAGGTCGATAACCTGTTAGCAATCTGAGGAGAGATACGAGATACAAGATCTTTCGGTAAATAGTTTTAGGATTGGATCATGAAACGTGATTGGATTCGTTTGAGGGTTTCAAATTGATCGGAGATTGCCGGCGTGGAAGAGATTGATTTTACACTTTAAAAAGATTATTTTCGGCCCTTCCACGTCGCTTCACCATCATCGATTGATATGGGGTTGCAGACGCGACGTCGCCCTTTTTGCAATTAGACGATGCAGTTGCAACTCGCACGCAAACTGGAACACATTAAGTGTGGTTTTCAAAACATAGAGAAACTTGAGAGTCTTTTCAAGTACGTTTTTGAACTAGATTAGAAACAAGTATAACCACAGAAATAAAAAAGGAAGTACGAAGGCTTTCACGGCCGATATTAATTAAACTAAAACTAGAACTAACACTAGCACTATCACAAGAACTAACACTAGACCTAGAACTAGAATCTTATCTTTCGGGTTAAGCCGTGCGTTTTTTGAAAAAATGTTTGACGTTTCGGATGCCATGTTGCAACCTTCTTTAGAAACAAGTTCGAAGTGCACTAGTGTTAGTTCTAGTTTTAGTTTAATAAAAAAAGAACTTTATGAAAAAGATATTTGTTTGGTTAAGAACAATTGCGTTGATTATTACTTATTACATTAATTAAAATAAAATTTTCGTTTAAAAGATTTGAAATATTGAACGTCTTTTGCGCAATATTTATAAAACTTTGTTGCATTAAAAATTGATAGAGGGGGAGGGAGTTGGTTCTCCGTGACGCCGTTGCTTAGGCCTTATTGATCGGGGTCGAAAAGGCGCCACACTGTCTCCATTCACGACATACACCGTCCAGACGTCGCCCCATCGACCGAAACCGGAAGCCTTCTTCGGTTTTATTTACGTCCTTTCACCTGACGATGAAAATCTTATCCTTCCTCTATAGATAGAGACAGAGAGGGAATTTCCGGGCACACGATAAAGGGAAAGATGGCCCCATTTCAAACAGGATTTGCATGGAAACTGATTCCCACCCCTATCTTAATGTTCAACAGGTTTACGGTTTACATTTTGTGGCGAGATGAGATGGATTTGATGGGTTGGTTGGGTGAGGATTTGATATTTTAGGTTGCGTTGGTTGATTTTGGATGTGAAGGGATGTTTGAGAAGGGATAATCCCCGTTGGATTTTGTAAAAAAAAGAAAATAAATAAATAAAACGAAAATTAAATTAAAAAAAAATATATTTAAAATAAAAATTTAAACCAAAAGATTACAAAATCATAAAATAATTAGATATACTTACTGACGAATTGAACTTTTTTTGGTTGCATTGTCCTTGGTTTTGTTTTAACCTTCGTTATTAATCCTTGCTTTCTATGTACTAAAAAGAAAGTCAATTAAATATTTTTTTAAAAAGCGCATTTATAACTCGTTGGTTACTTTGTGTTTATTAAAAACCGAAAACATTTTAATCCGTGACTCATTCATCCAAAAATATCAACTCGTGTATTTAATTTCATCTTGCACCCCAAAAGATTTATCACCAGAGGGAAAAACGACTACATACTTTCTAAATGGGGAAGAACCCTCGTGTATTTATTTATATACTTGGACCCCTCCTAAGGAAACAAAAACAAAGCTAAGAACTATACCCTCACTCATCAAGTCGACCTTTTTGTGAAGGAGGAACACAAATTAACTCATCTTAGTAACTTATCTTTATATATAAAAGATATTTTACTTAAATATTTATTTTAATAATGTTAAGTTTAGGTAGGGACTAATTTTTTACTCGTTACGATCTCATTTTGATCAAACCCTTATTGATGGATGACGCTAATTGAACTTTAATAACAGCTTAAATTGAGTTTTACGTCGATTTTCTTTTATTGAACGAAAACTAGAACTAACACTAGACCTAAAACTAGAAACATTCGGGTTTAGCCGTACATGTCTCAAGATGGATAAACCCGTATGTTTCTAGTTCTGGGTGTCGTGTTACTTCTAATACTAGTGTTAATTATAGTTTTAGTTATTAAATAGCGTTGGATTGTTGTATAGTTTTCATTGAACTAACACCAGAGCTAACACTATACCTAGAACTAGAATCATTCAGATTTAGTCGTTCTTAAGACGTGCGGCTAAATCCAAATGATTCTAGTTCTGGGTATAGTGTTAGTTCTACATAGTAACAGTGCTAGTGTAAAACTACAACTAACACTAGATCTAGAACTAGAAACGTTTTGGTTTAAACTCGAAACGTTCTAGTTCTAGGTCTAGTGTTAGTTCTAGTTTTAATTATTATGCAGCGCTAGATCAAGAACTAGAATCATTTGGGTTTAGCCGTACGTCTCTAAAGACGGCTAAACCCAAATGTTTCTAGATCTAGGTATAATGTTAGTTCTAGTGACAGTGCAAGACTAAAACCAGAACTAACACTATACCTAGAACTAGAATCATTCGGGTTTAGCCGTCTTTAAAGACGTGCGGCTAAACCCAAATGATTCTAGTTCTGAGTATAGTGTTAGTGTAAAACTAGAACTAACACTAGACCTAGAACTAGAAACATTTGGGTTTAGCCATGCATCTTCAGAAGAACGGCTAAACCCAAAACTTTCTAGTGCTAGTGTTAGTTCTAGTTTTAATTGTTATGCAGCGCTAGACCAAGAACTAGAATCATTTGGGTTTAGCCGTACGTCTCTAAAGACGGCTAAACCCAAACGTTTTTAGATCTAGGTATAATGTTAGTTCTAGTGACAGTGCAAGAGTAAAACTAGAACTAACACTATACCTAGAACTAGAATCATTCGGGTTTAGCCGTCTTTAAAGACGTGCGGCTAAACCCAAATGATTCTAGTTCTAGGTATTGTGTTAGTTCTACATAGTAACAGTGCATCTTCAGACGAACGACTAAACCCGAAACTTTCTAGGTCTAGTGCTTGTTCTAGTTTTAATTGTTATGCAGCGCTTGACCAAAAACTAAAATCATTCCGGTTTAGCCATCTTAATAGACGTACGGCTAAACCCAAATGTTTATAGATCAAGGTATAATGTTAGTTCTAGTGACAGTGCAAGAGTAAAACTAGAACTAACGCTATACCTAGAACTAGAATCATTCGGCAGCATTTGGAATGTTTTTATTTCATCAAACAGCATAATACTTTTGACGGTAAATTACCTTTATTACATTTTAAAATTTTAACATTAATACATTATCCAGTACTTTTATGTTATTTCCTATTGTTTATCTTAATTTTAGTTGTGCCAAAGAAGAACAATCATTACATTCGAAACATCTAGCACTGATTTAATAAAGAAATTTATACATCGATTCAACCTATGACCTTTTATTCTACGATTTCTACGATATACCTGGAATCCACTCTATACAGGCTGTCCCGCAACGATTGTACAATACTTCACCAGCGTCTTCTTTGGTCGAAAATAGACAAAAGAGTCTAATTTATAAGATTAGACTTTATCGAATATAAAAATGGTAAACTAGGTGGCCACGTAACAGGACCATGGCCAATCCAATTATTATCAACTCTGTCATCTAAGTATACTTGAGTAGCACGTGCATAATGTGCTGGTGCTCCATCGTGCATAAAGGTTTGCAAGCATTTGCAGAGGTAATTCACCAAATGCCTCGGTAAGCTCATTTTGTAAAAAAATATGGAAGCATCGGCTTTCAATCTATTTGGAATAAAAAAAATGGACCTAAACTAACTAGTCACCTATAACTCCGGTCCATACATTAACACTTAAACGCCACTGATGATGAATTTCTAGTATTGCATGGAGATTGTCATTACGCAAAATGTGCGCATTATGGATATTAAGAATTCCGTTTTGAGTAAATGTTGCTTCTTCCTGCATGGTTCACCTACAAAAAATCTATTGTTTTTTGCCATAATTTTCTGTTAAAGCTTGAAAAGTGTTGTAGTGATACGGATAAAGCAACTGCTCCCTTGCAGTGAACGGTTGTTTTCTTGTACAGAAATCTTTTTAATACTGGTTGAGGCATTTGCATCAATGCTTTTTCTAATTCCACATGAAGGGGTTACTTATTATAGAAAAATTAGAACTAATGATGTTAACAACAGGTCAACTTATGGAACTAAAACTTTGAATATCTCAACAATGTACCATTTTCGGACTTATGTTTGTTAGGCTTTTTTTTGTCAATTTTTGATCAAAGAATACGCTGGTGAAGTATTGTACAATCGTTGCGGGACAGCCTGTATAAACATTCGCGTTTAGCCGTCTTTAGAGATGATCTAGGTATAACATTACTTCTAGACACAGTGCAAGTGTAAAACGAGAACTAACACTATACCTAGAGCTAGAATCATTCGGGTTTAGCCGTCTTTAGAGACGTGATTCTAGTTCTAGGTATCGTGTTAGTTCTAGTTTTACTCTTGCACTGTTTCTATGTAGAACTAACACTATTAGAACTCATTTGGGTTTAGCCGCACGTCTCTAAAGACGGCACTGTACTCTTGCACTGTTTCTATGTAGAACTAACACTATACCTAGAACTAGAATGAACCCGAATGATTCTATACCTAGAACTAGAATGAACCCGAATGATTCTAGTTGTAGGTATAGTGTTAGTTCTACATAGAAACAGTGCAAGAGTAAAACTAGAACTAAGACGATACCTAGAACTAGACTCATTTGGGTTTAGCCGCACGTCTCTAAAGACGGCTAAATCCGAATGATTCTAGTTCTAGGTATAGTGTTAGTTCTACATAGAAACAGTGCAAGAGTAAAACTAGAACTAACACGATACCT